TTTTAATAGAGATGGAGTCTCACTATGTTGCTCAGGCTGGTGTTGAACTCCTGGCCACAAGCAATCCTCCCATCTTGGCTTCCCAAAGTGCTGGTATTACAGGCATCAGTCACCACAGCCAGCCCCAAGAAAATTATTAAAACATATGAATACACAGATAAAGTCTAATTCACTTCAACTCTGCAAATATTTCTTGAGCACCCACTAAGTGCCAAGCATCATGGAGGTAATCAATAAATACTTGTTGAATGACTTTCTTGTTCGTAGAAAGTAAATGCCACTTAACCCTGGGAGAGGGCTGTTCTAGGCTGCTCTCCACACACACTGGCTGCTGCTAGCAGGTATCTATTGTGTGATCCGGAAGCTTTGAGTAGCACTGCAATATGCTGGAGATAAGTAGTGGTCCGGGGCACGTCGCAAGACGGGGTGGAGGCCAGGATATGTGCATCTCCCCCTGCTCTTGCCCAGACCACGCTACAGCTCCAGCTGCTTCGGCCTCGGAACCCACAGGGCCACCACGGGGTGAAGGTGTCTGGGTGAGCCACCTCCGGCCCTCCTCCGGCTCCGGACCTCCTCCAGCTCCGCCCACTCAGGTGCCTGAAAGACACCAAAGTGGACAGGCCACATGAAAGCTCACTGGTGTGCCAAGCTGGAGAAGTCACTGCAGGGGGGCGGGACACTGCGAGTCACCCGAGCCACGTGGCCGCGCGCCAGGCCCAAGTGACAAGGTCACGGGGCTAGGGTTCTTTCCCCCCCGGCGCCTAGGGCGGCTGCACAGCTGAAGCAGAGGCCGGCGCCCGGCGTGTCCACACCGGTTCTCCCGTGCTCCACGCGCGGTGCGGCCCTGCCAGCCTAGTCGGCCCGAGCTCTGCGCCGACCTCCAGCGGGCTGCCCCTACTCACCCCGAGGGAAGCAGAGCCGCGGCGCCCGGCTTCCCGCCGCAACCAGGTAGCGGGGAATTCGCAGGGAACCGGGACAGCCACCTGACTGCGCTTAGTGAAGCCGAGGCGCGCGAGGCCTGCTGGGACTTGTAGTTCCTGGTTGCCCACGCCGAGGTTCCGCCGCCGGCACCGGGGAGGCACAGGGGTCTCAAGCCCTTACTCCGTCAGGTCGCCCTGTTGCTTTGCCAGAGCGGCGGACTTGGAATCTTACTGAAATGCTTTTTTTTTTTTCTTTCATGATTCAGTCCCCGTAGAGACTGCCAAAAATTGCCAACGCCGACTATATTTCAAGTCGTCATAGCGGGGTATTGGGAAAAGTTTTCAATTAGCAATAATCGCGTTTTGGACAAACCTCCTTGGCTACGATACTGCGCAGGGCTCTTACTGAAATATTTTCTTCAAGACATTCTAACTAGGTGTTAGGTTCGTGTTAAATGAATGATAGAGTGGATTTGTAGGGTGTTTTTTTTTTTTTTTTTTTTTTTGGAGACCGAGTCTTGCTCTGTCGCCCAGGCAGTGCAACCAATGTTTTTGTGTTTTTAGTAGAGATGGGGTTTCACCATCTAGGTCAGGCTGGTCTGGAACTCCTGACCTCAAATGATCCGCCTGCCTAGACCTCCCAAAGTGCTGGGATTACAGGCATCAGCCACTGTGCCCGGCCTTGTAGATTTTATTGATTCATTCATTCATTCGTTTTTGTTGTTGTTTTGTTTTGTTTTGTTTTTGTTTTTTATTTTTAAAGACGGGGTTTCACCATGTTGGTCAGGCTGGTCTTGAACTCCTGACCTTAGGTGATCTGCCCGCCTTCGCCTCCAAAGTGCTTGGATTACAGGCGTGAGCCACCACGCCTGGCCCATTCATTCCTTTTGAGACAGTCTCCCTCTGTCGCCAGACTGGAGTGCAGTGGCACCATCTGGGTTCACTGCAACCTCCGCCTCCCAGGTTCAAGCTATTCTCCCACCTCAGCCTCCTGAGTAGGTGGGATTATAGGCGTGTGCCACCACACCTGGCTAATTTTTTGTATTTTTAGTAGAGATGGGGTTTTGCCATTTTGCTCAGGCTGGTCTTAAACTCCTGAGCTCAGGCAATCCACCAGCCTCACCCTCCCAAAGTGCTAGGATTACAGGCTTGAGCCACAGTGCCTAGCCGTAGATTTTAAATAAGATATTAGATATTAAATAAGTCTCTTACTGTATTTGAATTTGTACAATTAGATTACATATTAAGATATTAAAACTAGGTGAAGAAATTTACTGACGATTGATGAATAATAAAAATATAAGAATATCACACTATTGCACTCCAGCCCAGGCAACAAGGGCAAAACTCCATCTCAAAAAAAAAAGAATATGCTGGCCAGGCATATTGAGACTTCATCTCAAATTAAAAAACAAAAACAAAAAAAACACTTTAGGGCAAAGCATAGCCAAAGCACTCTTGAAGAAGAAAAATGTGTTTCAAGAACTTGCCCTTCCATATCTACATGTATTATAAAGCTATACAAATTAAAACCACATGATACTGGAATAGGGAAAGGCAGAGGGGGAAATGGAACCACCTACAGGGCCCAGAAACAGATGCAGGCATCTATGAAATGAGATCTGGCTGGAATTATAGTTCGAGGGAAGATAGACTATTCAGTACCTGGGCTGGAACAACCAGTTATCTGTTGGATCCCCTATACAAAAACTAATTCAAGGTAGATTAAAGATTTACAGGGGAAATTAAAGCATTTTAAAATTACAACTTTTTTCTTCTATCATTCCCCAAAATTGTAACTTTTTCTTTTTTTGCAATAATGAGTTATCGCAGAATTAATTATTGAAAACACATGTTCCCTGACATGTATATGAAATACTACCTTTTTATATTGGATAATTCTCTGCTCTATTGATAGATCTCTTCATTTTGTTTTAAATATTGTATCTTTTAATATATTATTTTTAAATTTGTCCTTTTTATTGAAAAGTCATCAAGAACATTCTTTTTTTTTTTTTTTTTTTTTGTATATGAAATACTACCTTTTTATATTGGATAATTCTCTGCTCTATTGATTGATCTCTTCATTT